TAAGCGGACCAGGATGATTGGAAATGTCAGAATCACAAATGCCTAGACCTTAGTAAGAAATTAATCTTCTAACAAGCGTGCAAAAAGACCAAGTTTTATGTTTTTTGGAATTAATTGGGAGCGAGTTTCTTCAATAAAGAGTTTGTAGTGGAAGATAAAGAATGGAAGCTGGAACCCACCAGCTCTTCAAACACCAATCCTACACAGTCACCTACATAGGATATACTCGGAATATTTTTAATTTGCTGAATTCTAGGCTGACGCTGGGTATTGGTGAGGAATGATTTTTTTTACAATTTACTTTGTTCAGTTTGCTAAGACCAGCAAGCTTTCGCAAAAGCTATACCTAAAAGGATATCCATCCTCCTAACTGTAATAAATATGAACATCTACTTCCGTAAAAATATAGATCTAGAATTATAACTATGCCATAATTGTTAACCTTATGAAATGTTAACAGCTTCAAAGTCCTGATGGAGAGGAAGAGGACATATTCATTGAAAACTTGACTAAGGAACTGAGTTGTTTTTTTAATTGGCCTTATCTCTGATTTTTTAATACAAAATTAAAATAACTAAATAATCTTCTTGTAATTGGGTTAATTAAATATTAAAGTGTGTTACTGATAACCTCCAGCAATATATAAAATAAAAAGAATCATAGTCGAGGGGTATCATTATGAATAGTTTGAGATTTACATAAATGTGTGTAGGTGTCGCATTGTTTTCAATGGAGATTTCGATATTACAAGCGTCATCAACGTTCATAGTCATAAATTTCATTCTATTGGAGTAATTATAACTTGTTTTTCTTATTAGACAGCAAAAGGATCAATATAATTAATTGTTTTTTGAGTCGGATTCAAACAGGATGAATATTGCAGGATTAAATGAAGGTGTTATTTGATTATCTGATTTTTCTTGTCGTGTGTTGCAACTGTGAAACTACATAACCTTTTATTACCGCGGGGGTGAGGGGTGCGTGACGATTCTTTGGAAAATGTAAAGGAACGAATCATCGGGCGCATTTTATAGCAACAATAACGTCTTGTGTGCCTTTGGACTGAGGGAAAGCGTCTTTTTTTGTTGGTCCCACCGCGAGAAACGCCCATGATTTCAAGAGGTCGTGTGGAGCAACCCGGCTTTAGACCTTGTAATTATATTTTATGCTTTGAAGAGTTTGAACGGGGAAAAGTTACGAAAGCGAAATTCACTAACGCAAGTTCGGTCAACAACCGTCCCGACGATTGGAGTGTAGTAAATAGCAAAAAGAAATTAACAAAGCAATATCTATAAAGGGGTTTTTGAGGCCTAACGATACTTTTATGATCTCAAAAAAATATAAATTGAAACTATTATTCAACTTTTACCCAACAAATCAGTGTTGAATCTAAATTTTACAATTCTAATCATCTAGAGGATCTCGCATGGTTTCCTGTGATAGTTCGTCAAAACAAGACCTGACCGACTCAACAATTCTTTCCAAATTATAAAGTTTCCTAAAGTGGATTAAAATTTACTTGAAACAACGTAGTCGGTGAGCGAGAATAGGTAACACTTTGAGTACAAATAAAAATAATTGAATATGGGATACCTCAGGGGTCTGTATTGGGGCCTTTTGTTTTGCTGCATCTTAATGATCTGTAGTCTCAGCACATCCTTTGCCCATATGGTCCATACCGCCGATATTTTTTTCGTATAATCACACCAAGCAATATATTGCATATAAGCGCCAAATCCAAAATGACCTGTTATTTCTATTAGCCAAAGCCCTCTTGAATGTAAATAAAAATTACAGCACCTGGTTTTGTTTGGTTGGATTGATCCTTGTGTTAAAGGTTTTAAAATTAAAATAGAGGACACGTAACATATCTTTGTGTTAGTACAGATGACATTTTAAGTCTAAAAAAATTAACCTAAACAGTCCCGAACCCTAATCTAAACTAACCTGTTCCTAATCATAACCTTATATATTATATATAAGGTTATAACCTAACTATAAACTAACTGTCCCTAATCCTAACCCTACCTAAAATATAATCTCACCCATCCTTAACCCTAATCCTACCACATGTATCTTGCCCGTCCCTAACCGTAACCCTACCTATCCTAAGCAAACCTCCTCCTAACCGTAACTCCACCGAACATAACTCTAGCCTTCCTAACCGTAACCTCACCTAAATTAACCTAACTCCTTTCTAATAATAACCCTACCTAACCAAAACTAATCCTTTCCTAACCCTAACCGTACCTAACTTAAACTAACTCCTCCCGCCGAACCCTACCTAACCTAATCAATTCTAACAAAACTCACCCCCACCAAAAAAAAAAATCCATATTGAAATGTGACAAACTCCATTGTAGCCAGTAAGATTTATGTTTATATACAATAGGCTGCAATACGAATTTCTACCGTTTTCCTATATATTTGTGTTCAGAACACTTAGATAATTTTTAATAGAGTATGTAATTATATAGATAAGATTAAAATTATTTTATTTTTAAAATGATTTTTTTTTTAATCAGAACCTAAATAGTTTCATGAGACGCCCTCCAATATTAAGCTAGTATTGCCAAAGCATTGATTCAATGTGCTTTTATTTGAATTTACTAGTTATTGAATTTTTCGTATATGTATTTTCCGATGTCACTCCATAAACTATGTGTATAAATTGTAGTTCTCCCTTCTCGACTTTTAATATGATGTACAAATAGTTTTATTGTATCTCTGGTCTATTATTTTTATAAAAAGGTACTAAAACTTGTTATGGTTGCTTTTACAAACATTACGTCATAGAGTACCTGCACACAACCTGTTGTAAGGTACAAGTCGGGTTATTTTGTGTACTTGTTATGTTTAAAAAAAAATTAAGGAAAAAACCAATTATTTTTTCAAAAAAGCCTCCAATCCTGTGTCCTATTTCGAAATCGTTTGAAATGAGTCAACACTGGACCTGCTCCTAACCAAACTAGCACCTATAATGACTTTTTCCTTGTTCGAACATTTTTCAACTTAAATAGTTAAACACTTCTAACCAGCCAATAGACTGCGGATATAATAACATGTAATTAATCGAAATAACAGATAAAGAAAATAAATAGTGTGTGTCTATTTTATAATTTGAAAAAAATTATTCGTGCTATTGAAGGCATAACAGAGGATTTCACTAAAATGTATTTACTACTGCATATTTATGTACTGCAATACGGTATGTACAATAAATTAGTTTATCGTAAGAAAGCAACATCAAAGCATTGTCCAACGTGTTCATTTAACTATTACCAGTTTGAAGAAGATCACATCTATTTAGCTGTTAATAAAGTGTTAATTATTAATTCCTTAATATCCAATTTATAAACAATTATTAAAGTTAACTATAGAGGAGATTCCTATACACTTCAAAAATACTTTATTGTGAAACAAGTATAAATATAAATTTTTAAATAAATAATAAATAAATAAAACATAAATTTTTTAAATAATTGTTTTTAAATTCACTTCATCACTTTATTTTATTATTGTCTATAAATTGTATAAAAGAAAAATTACAAAATTGTAAATTTTGGTCAATAAATTAAAATCCTGTTTAAACGGTCTAAACTTGATTTCAGTTTCAAAATCTAGGTCATACATATAAAGATTTTATAAATTTTTAAGGGTTACTTTACTTACAAAACGTACTTAATATTATAGTAAGGAATTTTATGATTGTGAATTATGTTTTAACTTCAAATACTTTCACCAGGAAGTGACTATTCTAATTTGACTCAGTGTTTGCGGCTTTAACCGACCGACCTCATAAAAATGAAACATTATTGCCCTCAACGTGAGATAAGAGTGAAAAGAGGGTAAAACATTAAATAAAATTTTCAAAATTGACAATTGGAAGAGGATGTAATCCCTAGGGTGAGAGGCACGATACCTCGCCGGATAAGATAAAATGATCCAACGAAACCCTATCGGACCTGTAACAACGGTACATTTCGACTACGAAACGGCACTTACAAGAGTCGGTCCCATAATGTGGGCGTCGCATGGACCACTTGATCAAGTCAGAAAGTCCCCTGGTCCAAACAGAAAATAAAGTTAAAAAGAACAATTAAATGACTATGCTAGTGCCACACCTACACCGCATTCCAAAAGATCCACTGTCAAACTGATTACCATGATCCTTGAAATTACCGACACTGTAGAAATAAGCAGATGTCATCCCGTATTACGAAACGAATATTGAGCTTTCTAAACATTTGTTTCATCTCAGTCATTCTTTGCTGGAAATGAAGAACAAAACAAAAAGGAAATATGTTTCTTCACATATCAATAGTCCATATTCTTTCATCCGGCCGCAATTACATGATACAGTGAAACACGCTTCCGACAAAATCTTAAGATCAGAAAGGAAAAAATATTGAACTTACAAATTACATTTTAAAAGCATACTCGGTAAAGCAAGACAGTAGTTGCTCAAGTGGACGAATTGTAATTCGGCGCATTTGATCCAGTTAATGTCCAGTCAACGGCCTAACGGAATGTTGTAAAACATCAATATTTCTCAATTTCTGTTGCCTCCGTCCAACTTTGAACTGGAACGAGAGAATATTTCCATTGTGCTTTTAGCAGAAAAGTAAGAGGTTTATATTTTCTTGTCTATGCTTTTCTGCGTACATTGGCGATGTATCAATGAACGATTTTAATTGTCGGTGAAGAAGAAAAATATGACATTCATTTGATCAATTTCGGGGTTTCGTTTAACGTAAAAATTGGCTAAGCTTGAAATAAAGCCATTGATATTATAAGACAGAAAAATTAGAAAGTGTAGCGTTTCCGAAAATCTACGAATCGGCATGGAGACAAGTAAATCAGTTTATTTTTTTTTACGTTTATCGACCATGGATTTTAGAATAAGATTCAACACAAAAAAGGAAGACTTGAAATAATGATCGACGTAACTATAGAAAACCATTGAAGTCGAATGCAAGGAGAAGAACTGGGAAAGGACTGCAGCGTACCGTGAAATGTACCGGTGCCCCACCCGGTCCAAAACTCGAGCCTGTTACGTGCCCTGCAAGCTATATAAACTGGCGACCCAATGTACCGCAGCATCAGTCAATCGACAGCCGAAGACAGAAAATACAATGTCGAAGGTAAGAGACCATAGAGTGAAAGTTTCAGTGAAGAATCGCGGAGTGTTCCTGTGAATCGGAAATTGGGGACGTCATTAAAATTGCGGATTTTATTTCAGGGATTAACGATAGCAGTTGCGTTAGCGGTGGTCGGTTGTATTACGGCTTATCCCCAGCACGGTGGTTACGGAGGCGGTTTCGGCGGAAGTTTAAGCGATGGCGGAGCCTACGGAGGCGGCCACGACGCCGAAGGAGGTGGCGGCGGATACCAGAGCGACCACGGACACGGACATGGACACCACGTTGACTATTTCGTGAGTTAAATATAACAGATTTTCAATTATTTTGCGAGTTTTTTACAATAAATTGGTGTTGAAGGCCCCTGCTCATTACGCCTTTGAATACGACGTCCACGACCCCCACACCGGCGACGTGAAGAGCCAGCACGAGACGAGGAAAGGCGATGATGTCAAAGGGTTCTATACTCTGAAAGAAGCCGACGGCACTGTCAGAGAAGTGCACTACACAGCTGATAAACACAATGGTTTCAACGCAGTCGTCAAAAGGACCGGACATGCCGTCCATCTTCAACATTACGGTCACGGAGACGAACACTGAACACCTCCGTCTGTCCAACTACCCTCTAGTCCCATTGCGGCTCTAACGGATTTATTGTTTCATTATTAGTTGTTGCATTTTTATTATATTTTATCTTTTACATCTTAATTTTATTTATCCCTGACGAATCACATTTGACGAATGCACTGACCATTATTGCCTTCTGATGACCAGTTTTACACCGCGTCGTTCCCAATACTAACCTCCTCAAATTTACTACTCGTCATGGGCCATTTTTGTTTTTATCGATGTACATTTCTCCAGAACAACCATCATAAACTAAATGATCCTTGAACAACCTATGAGATTGGCGGACCCATAAATTGTCTGATAGGACTAACAAGTCGTAAATCGTCCAGCTGAAGGTAAAATTAATAAACCTTACTCTATTTTTTGTTTAAACATCGACAGTGCGCTAATAGTATGTACAATAAAATTGGTCACTGTTTATAAAATAATATAATGTTGTCATAACAGAATAGAATAACATATAAAAACAATTCATTCATGGGATCTCACGGTTCCAACACAAGTTTCATTATCAATAATCTGTTCGAAACATTCAATTTTGCACTGAATTCATAAAAGTAACAAGGTTTTGGGTATTTCTACTAAGAAAGGAAGGCAAGGGACGACGGATCATCAATTTTACTGAAACTGTTTTGGTTATAGTAGGTCGCAAAATATTAGACTTGTCCAAACGCCAAAGGGCTCTCGGAGGAGAGAACAAAATATATTAATGTATAATATAGTACAATAGAGTAATGTACATAATTTGTTAAATATTTTTAAAATATCTTTTTTTTTATAATTCTAATTTTTTTTAAATTTACTGTGTTTTCACTATGCTTCTAACTCTGATCAAGTTTTTTGTTTAAGCTTGAGACTAGAGCGACGTAGAAAAATACAATTAACATTATAAAGTAGGTTAAAAAATTTCTATAACAAGAAACGAACATGATAGTACTTTTTCGCACCGTGAAAAACCCCTGAATATATTTGTGGCCTTCCTTTCACCATTTTTTTTTTCAAAAATCACAAAAACTGTAATAATAATAAAATAAGTAATAACTGTAAAACCCGTCCATCGATTCATAGGATACTTTTTAGGGTTTTAGACCCTTATAAATTGTACGTAATCCCAAAACCCTGGCATCAGTAAATAAATTGTAACCGGAGATGTAAAATAACAGTTTGAGTGGCTTTTATTTATTTCGCCTCATTTAAAATGACATAGGTTTTGTAGATATAGCTTGAAAGAAGAGAATTTAGATTTTCTAGCAATTGTAACAATTGAGAATTTGGACACAATCCAGAGACTTATGATTTTTAAAATTGAACATCGCACGTCGGAGAAATAAAACTTACTGCAACTTTCCAACCTGGCTTTGTGGGGTCTGTCGATCATCCAATATCTATGATCTTTTTTGACAATTTAAACTTGCCATTCTTGTTGCGCGTTCGATTTCTGTTGCCTCGTCCTGCTCTGATTTTCTTTTAAGAGTTCTTCGTCGGTTTTGAACCTTATTCCAGGTTCCTCTGACATTTTGTTGTCCAAACACCTTTTCGCTCGTATCTCGAAAGATATTCTTTATTTTATCCTAGCGTTCAATGGCATTATCTTTATCTGAGAAAGACTGAAAGTATGTCGAAGCTTTTCTCTTTTTTTCGATTTTTTACGAGCTGCTACTACCTTCATTTGGAAATTGGCTGGGAGCAAGGGCAATGCAAGATTGGGCGACCGAAGAAAACGTGGAGACTATCACTGGAAAGTAGTGGAGAGTGGCCAAGAATTGTGCAGCTGACAGAGAGGGATGGAAAAACTTTGTGCTCGCCCTATGCTCCACTGTGAACGACAGGAATTAACTATAAATCTAATAAATTAACTAAAAATCTAATAAATTAACTAAAAATCCGATCACTTATAATACGATCCTACATATAATTTTCATATCCTACGTCGAAACCGAATATAGTCTGATATATAATAACCTTGAAATACAGTTATATGAAAAGGGGAAACTTTATTTTAAAACCAATTATTTAAATATTCAATTTTTTCTCGTCTCCTAAGGCTCATTGGCAAAAATATAAGTAATACTGTAAATAATAATCTATTCTTAATTATAAAACACTCAACAAATTACGAATTTGTATCTCTTTTCTTTTTGATAAAATACAAAATTAAAGTTCGAATCGCTCTTGTGAAAACAATCTGAGTCAGAAAAATTTTATGCCCAAGACTAAGTTGATAAATGTAATCAGCAATTGACTCATCAAAACCAATAGATCTGTGTCAAGATACTGCAAATATTTCTTTCAAAATCTTTTTCTATTATGAAAAATCATTCTTAATTTTAAACAGTGTCTGGCTACATAAAAATCATAGTTCATTTAGTGTTTGTAATGATAAAAGTGCTGGTTGTAACTAAGCCATATGGGTTACAACTAATTACACTTAATTAATCTTTTTATGTAAGGTTTTTGGTTGAAATGAAAAAGCTAGTACCACGAGCGGGATTCGAACCCATGATGTTCGGCTAAACACGCCGCTGCTCTACCACTTGAACTAACTATAATGAAGTTGTATTTCGTTTTACTTATTAAATTCTAAATTAAATATTTAGGGGTCTATTGACCCAATTACTTCTTTCAATTGATTAATCTTTTTATGTAAGGCTGAAAGTTTTTTGTAAGGTTGTAAGGTTGTAGGTTGAGATGGGGATTAGTGTCCGAGTGGATCGAAGTCACGATAGCTCAAGTGATAGAGCACCGGCGTATTTAGCCCGAAGGCCGTAGGTTCGAATCCCGCTCATGGCACTAGCTTTTTCATTTCAACCAACAACCTTACATAAAAAGATTAATTAATTGAAAGAAGTAATTTCGTCAATAGTTATAACCAATTATATCACTAAATTTAATGGGTTATAACAATGTTCAACTATCTTTTTTAAAAAGATAGTTACTTACAAGTTTCTTTAGTTTTCAGATCCGTATTTCCCCCAATAGTCCATCATCAGATGAGGGAGTCCTACAACCTGATGATGAACTATAAGTTTGAAATCCGGATCGTTGAAAACAACTAACTGTAATTAGGAACTATTATTTTAAATAGATTGAACAACACACTCACTCCACGAATTATCATGTCTATAAGGACTATACTGTCCAAGGTGGACATTTTGAAAAATTGAAAAATATTTCTTTGAGTTATAAAAGTGAAGTATGAAAAACCAGTTTGTTCATTTAAGTGTATATGGTAAGAAGGTCCGAAGCTAATTTGTTTACTTTCTCAAGAAAGTTATCGCATTGTGAAACGATTGATCTAATGTGACATACACATTCTTAAAGTTAGAAACTACTTACTTATTAGAGGTAGTGAAGTAGGAAGTCCGGTGTTTTAACCATTTGACCTATGTTTTCCATCATTTTGGCCATGTCCCAGATGATGAAATCAAACTCAGGCCTGCCAAGTGGGGGGCGGAAGTATTTTAATTTATAGAATCGTCATGGAACACTAATTTAGAAACAAACATATACGGTCGTCTGGCGATCGTGGAATAGGATTTGTGACCAAACTCGATTATAAATGAAAATCAACCTCCGTCTTGTGAGAAGAGTCTAATCGCATGGGTATATTTACACTCAACACGTTGGTAATAGAAATTTTTTAATCACTTCTACACTAGGTATTATTTTTGTTTGTTTTTACTTAGAAAATTCAAGTGAAACTAAACATAGGACCCAACAAAATAGCTAGAAAAGTGAGTGAGATAGTAAGGACAAGGCCTTTTGGAATTCCTGACTGACCAAGGTGTTTATAACAAAAGAAGCGATAATTGTCGAAGCAAACGGTATTTTCCGCGTTTCGAATAAAAAGATGATCTTCGATTCTTTTCGAATTTTCGAAAAACGGACGTGCGTCCGTGACCCCTCGCTTGCGGTTTCGAGTTTGTCAAATGTTGGGACACGGTTGAACGGATGGGAATGACAGCGATAAAAGTACAATCTAGTCTGGTCCAATTTTATTTAACCACACCGGTCAGCGTTACAAACATTATAATATTACACTTCCTATATTCGTTTATATTTGGATATAACCGGAAAAATGTTAAAGCCAATCTTCAAGACTGATCCTCTCGCCTCATTCCAAAATCAAGGGTATCTACTTCATTTCTGAATATGTAAATATTTTTAAAAGATAATTTATTTTGTAATTTTATTCTGTCTTTTAAGAACAATTGCACAAACTGCTTTATAATAAAATTGATATTATTGTCATTGATACGATTGACATGGTTCAAATTGATCATCCGTAACGTTAATTACGATGAAACAAATTTTAAAACATAAGAATACCACTGGGAAAACATTTTCTAACTGTTTTCCTGCAATTCTTTCTAATCCAAGAATATTTTTTAATATATTTTAACACCGTTCTCCAGTAGATTTTCCTAATCTGGAGAATTGTCTGGGGGGAAAAAAACAATAAAAGGTTAAATTTAAAAAAAAAATATATATACACTCAATGTAAGTTGGAGGACTTAAAAAAACATGCTCGATAACTTTTTTTGTTACATTTATTTGGTATTTACAACTACAAGTGATGTATTAAGAAAATACGTTCGTATATGTTGAATTATCATTTGAGGCTCGATAACTCGTACAGAAATAAACCAATTATATCTTTCTTATAACTATATGTACAGTTCTCTGGGGTGAATGTGTGCGGTGAGGAAAAGTAAATTTTTAGCGAGAATGGAGAGGGTTTAGAGGAATTTGGAGTAATTTGGAAGAGTGCATATGAGCGGACTTCTTTGTTTGTAATCGCTTGTTGTGCATATTAATTTATTAGCGTGAAATGAGGGGGCCGTTAAAACTCGCCCCAAGGAATATCGAGAATCTGTGGGGGTGTATATAAATCCAGACTTGGGAGCAAAATTAATTTATTAATGAGAATGGAGTGGGTTCGACCACACCACGAGGAATATCGAATGTGACCCGATTTCTACGATTGTATAGGGTGATGATGTATAAATATGTATTACATGTTTAATGCCTATTCTGTAGCTGACAACCTGAGGTACAAATGAGAACTTTTTAGGGTTTCAATATAGTATACATATAAAAACAGATGGTCAGTAAACCAGATCGAGACGCTCAAATGGCCGCAGTTTAAAACAAAATACCAGAAAAAAAGGAAAACACGAAGAGTGCCGGCGATGACCTCAGCTGTTGGTCGGCCCATAAACCTTCCACATTATGTATATTACATACATGACTTTATCGTTTCAATTATGCAGAAAAGTAATTTTGCCCCATAAATGGATTTTCCTGTTTCCTCACACGTAAGAAATAGAGAAACAACGTTAATCACGGCTCACGTACTTTGGAAGAAGTAGTAATTATTAAAACCAATTTCAAAGATAGAGGACCGCCGATGACCTCAACTGTTTGTCGGCCCATAAATGTATATATAACGTACAATTTTAGAGCACACAGTTCATTCACATTTTGTTTTAGCGAATAAAATTTTATAGAAACACATGATTTTTGTGTGATGTGTGTAATGATCTTTCTTATCATTGTGACGTTTATCATAATCGCAAATTAGTCTATTGAATTTTACGACTGTAATGAAAAACTTACTAAATAAAAATCTATCTATTTAATAAATAATAAATACACCAGTTTATTTTCAGCCTGGCCTCATTTTCTGTCCATCATAGTTGATACCGTTTAAATCTGTTGGCGTTGTTTTTTTTATATTGAAAGTTCTGTCTTAGTCCTACTAATATGTAATGTAAACTATGTACTACAAGGTAATTTCTATTATTCTTATTCAGAAAAAAAATATATGTATACTTTTTTTATAGACTTGATTGGGATCCCGGCAGATTTTTCGCGTCGCTTACCTTCCTTCATGGTGAAATTGTTAAAAACACTGATATGAGGCAAAGTCCAAAGCAGCAGGAGGAGCAGGGACCACGATCACGATTTTTCAACTTGTATTAAAAACGTAGTGGGGCAGTGAAAAGAGTATAGGAATAGGTCTTCCCCACACCGAAAACTCTCTCGGCCCCCCTCGTCAGTCGTAAAACATCCATCTGCGGCTTTCTGCCCAAAGTGGGGAAAAATAGAAAAACAAATTGAAACCGGCATCGATAAACCGTCAATAACGTTCAATTGAGAGGAAATCATCAACCAATTGAATTTCAACGGTCATAATCGGCTAAAATAAGACGTTTAAACCTCTCTCGACATAGCATAGCCAATTTCCAAAGACAATGTCCGAGATCCGACTTAGTTTTCAAGCATTTTTAAGATAAAAATAAAATCATGCGATCTCAAAAGTCCCGTGTTTGTTCACGTATCCCTTGTTAATTTTGACACCAAGGCTGCTTCGTGTATTTAAAAGCCATTTCGAACTTGTGACGTTGAAAAACGTTTCGGGTTTTTCTTAGTTTATTATAATTAAATAATGTCCTGGCATTTGACCAAGGGACATTTCAAAATAAGGGGAAAAACGTCAGTCAGATTTAAACATTAGTAAAATTATTTTAAACTTCAAGAGGCTGACTACTGTCCGCCATCTTTGAAAGAAACCTATCATAATGTCTAGTTATTTTAACTGTATTTTCGAAAGAGAGATGGATTTCAAAATATTCCCAGTCCATTATTACTCAAAAATTCAGGATTCAAAAAATCCCTATGGATTTTTAAAAACATAATAGACCGAGCTTTAAAATGTAAATGAGGGTTTATTTGTAATTATTATTGTGTTATTTATCCATCTATTTATAATGTTGATTTGTTTGTTAAAAGTGTTGGCCCTTCTTTATTCTTTATTTTTATATCCTTCTTTTTAATAGTTATATTTTAATAATTGATTTGTTGCATTTTTGTATGTCCTATGCTTGGGTACCTGACCTGTTTGGACTGTAAAAAAATCTAAAAAAATATTTCTCAAAGATATCTATATACTTATGAGATCGATTTTGTTTTTGGAAACTTACTTTTACTTTTTTTTAGAGGTCGGCAAACTACGGTTGCCGCTATTTTCAACCCGCGGCTTTATATTATTATTTACATTTTTTTAAAATTACATGGAAAAAATGTAATTAAAATGGGATGGATTCTATAACGATATAAGTTGATAGATGTAGATTAAGGAGTACAGACATATAGTGTCATCCAAAAATATTCTTAAATTCTGTTTTTTTCTGTTTCCACTTGTTTTTCCTAGCCCTATTACTCAATTTTTTTAACACAGTCGAAACAATCGTTACGAAAAGTCGTGATAACAAAGCGTGAAAATTAAAACATTATTTTTATACAGTTTTTATAAAAACATGGTCTTTATTTTATTGCCTGTTTTATTTAAAACTGAGTATGGATCCAAAGGTAATTTTTTAGAATCTGTTGGTGTTTTAGAATTTTAATTGGTTGGCGGATAAAGCCGACCTGGGATAAGGTATAAACTTATTTTTTAAATTATAATATCAAATTGTTTAACTGAATGTTGTTTAAAATTAGGTTTAAAAATCAATTTTCATATTTTACTGAAATAAAATTTCAATTTTTTACGATTTTTACCATTTACAAGATAAAGTGAAATTATCGAGTTCTGAAGGAAAACTTCAATACCTCCAAAACAAATCGATTGGTTTTTGAATTTCTTTTATAATTTATTTTCGACTGGAAAGGACTTCCAAAGTGTAAAAATTTGATCCTCAAAATTCATTGATTCGTTCTCGAGATATTGAAGTTTTCCTTAGAGCTCGATAATTTTAATTTATCTTGTAACTGGTTTAAAAACTGGATTGAAAATTTAATTGAGTAAAAAATGACAATTTCATTTGTGTTGATTTTTTAACCTACCTTTAATCAACAGCAATCAGTTATACGAGAGACAGACCCAGTAAGTAAGTGACCCTGTGCCAGATCAACACAGTTGTCCGGGGGGGGGGGGAACAAAATTTGTTTTAAATAAATACTTTGGTCCGTTATTTCCTCACTCACCTCCACAGATGTGCTTCAAACCCTTGGCATTTATCGCATGACAGGCACAGTTGACCATTGTCCACTTCTTGTACTTTGACCCCCTGCAATCAATTATTAAATGAGTCATTTACTAAAATTTAATTTTCTTAGTTGGTTCACTGAAATTGTCAGATTTCCTACGGAATAGGACAAAATTTACACACGAAACCATTACTGAAAATGGTGAGAAGACGAAACGCGTCTGACAGACTTTTTTATTTAAATTTATTTGTTGCCTATACATCATCGTATACTATACAAATATATACAACTGATTAGTGTATCACACAGCACAACACTAGCACTGCACTGGTAGAACACATGCTTCGAGGAGCCAGCCATTGCTGGCACTCAAAGTGTTTAATTAGGTGTCAAGGAGGTCCCGAGGCCACCGATGGGTGAGACGACTTGGCGAGTTGTTAGGATGGGGGGAATGAGTGGAGAGGGCTAGAGCAGTATGGTTAGGATGGTTCGAAAGGTTGGTTTAGAATATGGATCGGATCAGTTTGTTGACAAAAGGAATGATGAAGTCTTTGTGGATAGTGAGGTTAGTGACGTAGTTAGGAGCTTAAACGATTGACGATCCATCGATTGGAAGGACTGGATATTGAATGGCTTGGATCCACTCCGTATGTCTATATTGCTCTTAGTAAAGTCTTGTACAGTATTAGCTTTGTCTTAGATGTCAAAGTTGATTTCGGTCTTAGTAGTAGTCCAAGTCTTTTTTTAAGTTGTTGTTCTTTAAGTCTTGTATAGGGATTCCAAGTCAGTGTGCTGTCGAGATATATAGTCTTGTCTTCCATTTTGTACATCAGTCTTCGATAAAGGTGGTGATAATAGTGTCAGGATGTATTGGTCTGACAGACAAAAATTAGGAACGACCTACTGCAGATTTATCGATTAGTTTCCGTACTTCATTCTAGATAAGTTGAAGGGGGTATAAAATGTCATGTTGAAGTTCAACTTTACCTTCTCTTCTGTTTTATTATTTCTCCGACTTTAACTTACTTAGTTGTGACACATACAGAAAAATATTTTTATCGAGAATACGAGGCCGGTGAAATTGAAGGTTATTTAACGACGGAATCATAAAATGTGAAGAATTGTAGGAATGTGTTCAACTCAGCTTGGCATTATTTCTAGCTACATTTCTCGATTCAAGGATTCTACGATTGACTTGAGTTAAACTAAAGGCCTATTGCTAAACCCCTTTTGCGTGTTTTTACCATATTTTACATAACAGACAATATTTTATAAAGTGACGAGCGTGAATGAATAAAGAATTCGCCTATAACAGTATAACATGACACTAATGTCGCCACTTACCGTATCTCTGATTTCCGACATAACAACTTTTGCTTGTATCGTATTTCTTTCTTTGGAGATTTCCACCCATGAGATTGTCGGATTATCGATTATACATTTTCCTTTAACAATCCCCTTTTCGGATTTCGACAAAGAGGCTTCGAAACTGTATCCTTTCGAAGATGTGCTGGCAGAGTCGTTTTTGTCCTTTGTCCCGACTGTGACTTCTATTTCAACGGGTGGGTTATTCTTTTCAGACTGGACTGGTGCATCTAGCATTTCAAGTTCGCGCTGACGAGCATTTGTAAAATCGTTCCTCTTCCGTGTTTCATCTCGAAACGCGTTATTTCCTTTTTCGTAGTGAGAAGGTCTTTTCAGCTTTGACCATTTTTCCTTTTCGGCATCTCTTGGATATGAGTCTGCTTTGTTACACTCAGAGTAGTTAGAACGACCTAAGTAAAACGGTTTAGGTGAAATCTGTGTAGAGCTGTGAAGAGCTCGCAGTTTATCCATTTGTGCGGTAAAGGCTATAGAATCAGATTGCCGTTTATTTCTGTCGTGTCTCCACCAGTTATCAGGCAGAATGGTTCTTTTCGCACTATCGCCATGTAACGGTGTATCCGTTTCTAAATACATGGAGGAAATTCGGTCTGAAACGGAACCGCGTCTTGCATTTTCATCGCGATGTAAAACGGAAATGTTTAAACTATTTCTAAAAGGCGCCGGTGTGATGAAATCGTAGTTGAAAGAACTAGATCGTCTGCTCTTGTCGCGCATTACCACGGTGTTCTCGGCTGCCATAAGACGTCCGACCCGGTCCTCGTTGACGTTCGCGTCTTCTTCAAATTTGTTCACCTTTTTTAACAGTTGTGAAATTTCCGCCTCGAAAAGGGGCACGGACGCGAGGCCCTTTTTCCCATTTTCACCCGGCCCTTCACAATTTTCACCCTCGTTGGACATTATTGAACGGACTTATTATCGCAACTGAAGTGTGTTTCCAATGGGACAGATAAAAACCGAAAATCGATAAGAGTTATCTGACAAAAGTAGCAAATTTCACAACAGATATTTGTAATATTTTATATATTTAAAACTGCTCAATATACAAATAACTCCAACTAACTTCCAGAAGAGACCAAAACCTTTAATTGCAAACGTGCAAGTAACAAGTTTTCTTAATTAAATAAAATAAATTAGAGTGTTAGCATATACAATTTTCAAACAATGTAAATGTTAACTTCTCAAGATATCAGGTTGGATTGCTTTCAATGCCGAGTGTATTGTTCCCTTCGAAAAGAAAATCCATACAATAATTCAAGTTAATATTTGAGCTAAAGGTATTACTTTAATTATAGTTATGTATGTGATTTATTGAACTACTCCAACCACTTGATTTTTTATTTACAAAATTTATTTACACAATTATAGGACAAAACAAACTGTTGCCAGTAATTTTAACTTTTTACTTACATTTATTTTATTATGGTGATAAAAAATCTTATGAAGGGGCAGATATATAAATAAGCCCTGATAAGTGGTTGGAGTAGTTCAATAAATCACCTGCATAACTATTCAATAAACCAACCGAGTGAAACGAGTAACTTGTGATAAATTTAATTAGTTTCTATCATTGAGAGATAATTGTATCTGTAATACTTTCAAAATACTTAAGAAAAACGTGATAAATTTCAAAATATGAGGATATATATGTCTACCGCTCCAAACTGGTTTATCTATTGGACAAAAACGAATTTCATTATTTTTTGCTTTTAAACACCAGTCCTTTCATATCATTTATGCTGCTGACCTACCTACACACCCTAATAACATGTACGCGAACGATATCGCAACTTTGTCATCTAATTTGAATCTTAAGCTACCTCCAACATACAAGAACAGCTTGAGCGAGCAGAAAACTCCCTTTCTACAGACGATTCAGCCATATTCCTACAATGTCCAAAATCCTTGAAAAACTCCTTTTAAAGCGCTTAATACCCATCCTAGGATACTCATAAAATCATACCCTCTCACCAATTCGGCTTCCCTCCTCATAATTCCACGATCCAACATGGTTTTAATGTTGTCGACACTATCTCCTGTGCTTTACATATTAAAGAAAATTGCTTGGGTGCGTCTTAGATGTAGCACAGAATTTTGATAGGGTCTACGACCCGCGTATGGTTTATAAACTTAAATGTTTCCTACCCACTTTTTTAAATCTTATCCTGAATTGACCGCCGCTTAAGAGTGAGGGGCGGAAATAAGATCTTGGAAATCAGACCGATACAAGTCAACGTCCCACAAGGAAGCATTCTTGGTTTCATCATTTACATTATCTACACTGGTTATCTACCTGCATACGGCAAACCAACAAACTCCCTACGCGGATGATACTGCAATTTTGTCTTCTAATTAAAATCCTGTCCATGTTACCTCCAACAAACAAGTACACCTTGACCTTATCGAAGAAAGAGGAAAAACGTACTTAGTGTACATACACATTTAAAAAACAATAACTTCACTATACATTGACACCAAAGGGATACCGATTTTCATTCAAGTCAGATACGAAGGAGTATACCTAGGCAGCAGACTGTCGTGGAATCCACACATAACTTAAAAGACAATATAAGACATGGCCAACAAGGAAGACTGTTAGCCCGAAATCTGTTTTGACGTCATCATTAAACTAACCTTATACAAGGCTTTACTGCGACCACTTTGGACATATGGAGTGGAAATGTGGGGTCCTGCCAAGACACCCAACATCCAGCGCATACAATGAAATGTCAGCTCGTTGCTACGTCACTGATCTACTATCTACAACGACCTCACATTACTTTTCTCAACGATTGGTCCGTTCCTAATTCCAAAATTTCACATTAAACTCTAGATCCGTCCTAACCCCACTGCTCGAGCCCTCTCTACATATACCCATCCCGAGAACACGCCACCCCCGGCCAAATCGAAGATTGCCTCCAGACCTTCTTGCTACCTAATACCTTACACTGAGTGGTGTTAGTGCTGTGATCGTGTGAAAATAAGAGTTATAATCACTTTTGCATTGTGTACCAATATGTATATGGTACAAATAAATAATTATAAAAAATTTCCCTATTTATAGACTTGTTTGAATTGTTAAACACTCAACTTATATACAATCAAATATATATCAAAACTGTATCACTACCTTATTCATAATGTGAAGGAATTGACAATTTTAGGTTCTGTCACGGTAATATATTGTGATTTATATTAATTATACATAATAGGAATAATTGAGATGGAGTGAGTTATCAACTTACTTTTTGTAAAGGATAGTTTTATACAAAAAAAAGATTGAAACTGGTCAACCATGCTTTCCAAAATATGAATTAATGATAATGTTTAGATAATTAAAAAGAGATTAAGCAAAGTTAGCATTTAGCAAGCTTAACGTATTAAAAATAATAATGCATTTATAAAACAAATTAGAGAAAAATAAATAACATGCCAAATCACTGATAGCACTACAGCTTTATAAATAAATAATAAATTTAAAAATTAATCCTAATTAATATAATTTCCAAATTTGAAAGTCAGTTAGTTGCCCTCTAGTGACTGACCATCCAATTTCCAGAAAACAAGCCAGAACTCTGTGAGAGTTTTGAGTTAAATTTCCCCCTATATTAGACTAAAAGTGAACCATGGCTTAAAATATTAATTAAATATACCAGTTGAACATTGGCAAATGCAATGACTGTGTTTATTAATGTGTTTGCATGGGAGAATTGACTGTGCACTTGTGAGAAAGCATTGCACACCATTTCCAAGATCTCAAGATATGAGTTGTTGAGAAAGTCATAAATAGTTTGCTTGGAGAAAATGATACATTTGCTCTTGGTAAGTTGTTTCCTGCTGGTATTAAACAACTTAATACACTAATCTGAATTTGACTTATTTTCCCATCTGAAACAAAATGATCTTTTATTCAAAAAAATGACTTAGAATCTTTGATACTGAGAATAATGAATCAATGTACAATAGAAGGGGTAGTGAAATAACCCCGGATAGTCAGCAAGTCAAATCACTGATAATAATGATCAAATCAGTTCTTGCTGGTAGCTTGGAGTTGTGAAACTTGACTGAAGATGGCAGAGGCCTGATATAATAAGTTCAGACATACTTCCTACAAGCCTATAGGATCTGCTATTTTACCATGAACTCAGTACTAAAGAATAAATAACAAAAAAGTTTAAAAACATAAAATAAAGGATCTGTGAGACATTTTGGGTTTTTAATGAAGCTTATAGCTTCCAATTTTTAATATTTCTTTAATGATATTTATTTTAAATAATATTATGTAAAATGGAAACTGCCTGGAATATTTTAAGGCAATACAAAGTTTTTTCAAAAATATCTGTGCAACTTGAATGTGACTTAAAGTGACAGTAAAATGGATTAAATTGGGCTTCAGGTGCTGTTGATTCAGCACCTAGTGCATGAGGTTCTTAGATCCAAACTATTCACATTCTCATTCATTCCGAAATACATTCTTTCTTATTTACATACCATCACTCAATTGCTGGTAGAATTCTCAACCTCCATCACCCTTTACACCTATACTAAAATCAACATAACTTGGTTGATGGGGTACTCAATGTTCCACCATCGACCCTTTCACACTACACTTTCATGCTAATACATACATTTACTCTCAACTCAAACTAGTGGACACATCATATTATTGACAATAAAACAACAGGTGAATCTTAATCTACAAACAGGTAAAGATGACCCTTTTCCTATGACTCAGATCCTCCAAGGGCCACCTATCAGTGTTTTTAATACCCGACAGTTTCTCTGTCAATCCAATACTACTACTCAATATTCCACCATACTAGGGACATAAAACTACATCGTTGGTGTTTCTTGTAGGCCTGATAATAGATACATGATTGAAGAATTTGTCAGCGTGTCAGCCAGACAATTCATGAAATTCAATGAATCATTTAAATTGAAACAATAATATGGGTCCATTTTTTAACTTTTTTAATCTTTAATTTCTAGATTTTAATTAGTAATTATTCAGAAATCGTGAGATGCAGTCTGGTGTGATGTAGGTTTCAGAAAAACATTTTCTTTATCGTGCCAACGTTTCGATCTTTATTGAGATCATCTTCAGGGCTCAAAGTGTTTGTCTTCTGTGTAATTGTGCCATTCTTGCGTGTCGTGTTGAGAGTGCCCCTTTAATTAGTAACTTGCACAAATATCTTTTCATTTCACAATCTCCATATCTTAAATGTTTTGTCTGAAACGTCACCAAGAATAAAAAAAGAAGTCATAAGTTCATTCTCTGGCTGCCGCCCTGACAAATTCTACAATCAAAACTATATACTTGGACTATTCTATTTGACACTGGTCTCATTTTACTTAATAATCACATTTTAAGGCAGAATTGTTCAATATTTCTATCGGTTATTATAATCATAATATTATTAATAAATTAAAGATATGTTGAACAGCCCAGAAATTTTTAAACCATGATTGTTAGCTATAAATTTGAAAAAAAATTAAATTAATGGTTTTTTTAATTAAAACATTTTCATGTGGTTTTACAGTACCTAATAACTATATAGAATATCTTTTATTCTCCAAAATGGGCGTTTCAGGTATTTTATCCATCATCAGAACTTATTATTTTTTGTAATTTTACATTATTTTAAATTTTATTAAAGATTTAGCATCATTTTGCATCACAGGCCACATGATTAAAGGCTGGAAGTAGGAAACCTTCAGAAAGAAAGGGAAATTATCATGATTATGTAAATTTGGCCCATTTCAATGGTAATTGTCAACAATTAACAAAGGCAAATGAACAGTACATTTAAAAAAAAAAAAAATGGTCGAAGTATGCGTCAAATAATTATGAAAATTCCCAATGCTGTTTCGCCACATCATTGACAGTGCAGGCAGGACTTTATGCTAGCCTTGTC